AATCATCCATACTTGTTTCCTTTCAGCCATGGAGATAAACTGGCGAAAGAAACTACACAGCGTGAAATAATTATTACGTAACAATATTTACAAAATATTATATTGTAACGGTGTCAATACAAAATCATATCATATCCTAAAGGGACTCCTTTTAATAATGTATATTAGTTATTATATATTTTAAGGTTTTTTAGTTTTAGTTATCACATTCTGGAGGTATTAAATTATTAATTATTAAAAAATCATATCATCTTCATCATAATTATAGAAAAATCCTGCCGGAACGTTTGGAAAAGTCAAAAGACTTTATCTATATATATAATTATGATAAAATTATCATATTTATATATATAGATAAAATATAATATTATGATAAGTAAATATATCTTTTTTTTTATATATCTGACATTTAGAAATCTTGTAATATTAATATGTTGACAATGTATATTTTATTGACATAATATTAGGTAACTCTGACATTCATAATTCTACAGAAAAATGTTATAATTAATTAATCTCTCTTTTTATATTATGTATTTGCATGCTATTTTTAAAATGGCAAAACACGTGCTCAAACCGTTATGTAATACCTATATACCGTGTTTTTAGCAAATAAAGATTATGATTTATGATTTATAAAACTCAAAGGTGACTGACATAGTGATCTATCAACGCACAGCCCAAACCACTGGACGGATCGGGCTGAAATTTGTCATGCAGGTAGATGTTATGACGTAGGCATCCGCTAAGAAAGGATTTTGATCAATTCTACCCCCAAGGGGATAAAATAGGGAATGAAAGTTTGTATGAAACTTTGTCAATTTTAAACCGATCGGGTTGAGACTTTGCATGCAGATATAAGAAGAATCATAGATGAATGTCATTGTGTATAATACAACCCTGAGAACAAAAACTGTAGTCTACACCTCAGCTCTACACCGAAGCGAAGCGAGGGCGGGCCGCTAGTTATATCATAAGAATCAATATAATCATTCTTCTAATCTAAGAATGTGTTAATGAATATTATTAATGAAAACATTTGTTTCATGTGAAGACTAACATTTATAATCAACAAAGTATGAGAACACTCCCAAAGCATTAAATTTCCAAATTATGTTCTTTTGATTCAAGTGGACAATGAATACGAAATAACTCTACGAGCATTGTGACACAAGAAGGGTGCCTGTACACTTTCACCACGTTAAGACACTATTTGTAGGTAAAGTGTCTATTAGCGAAGTAACCACAACCACAAACAATAGTGTTTTAGGTAAACCATGAGCTGAAATTTCGAAAGAATTCATTAAAAGCAAAACGTACATTACACCTTTATTTATGTTACACTGAAATATCCTTTGTGAGTTAAGTTAATTACGTTGAAAGCCTCAGATTTTGCGCTTGAACTTTATTGTCTTCGTTAATATTTTTGGGGTCATTGTTAACACAAAACCTTAATAATCAAGCTACTCACATTTCAAGCAACCTCAAATTATGTTAAACACTTTTGCCGTTGGTATAATTGGTGTAATAAAATGTAATTACTTGAATTTTGACAGAAAAAAATAGTTAATAAATTGAAGAGCTCGATGGCGCAGGTGGTCAGCGCGTTCGGCTGCGATCGTTGTAGTTAAGCAACTTTCGCAGTGGTCGGTCATTGGATGTGTGACCAAAAATTTCTATCTCGAGTTCCTCCGTGCTTCGGAAGGCACGTTAAGCCGTTGGTCCCGGTTGCATCTGCAATCGTTAGCGCCCGCCAATCCGCACTGGGCCCGCGTGGTGGGTCATGGCCCAATCTCCCTATTCCATCCATAGGGAAGGCCTGCGCCCCAGCAGTATTCATCCCTTTTCTTTGATAAAATTCAAATTTTACTTAATTTGAGTTCAGTGAAAGTTGTCTAGTCTATCACCTCTTCTTTGCCTCTTCTACACTACTCGAGTAACTGTCATCGGAAAAATAACTGTTTTCATTGTAATATCATCTATAACGTATAACAAACAATTTATCCATCTTTTTTTTTGCATATCAAAATAATTTTATGTTCATGTTCATTTTCATATTATTTTATCCTCTCCTGAGACGTAGGACATAGCTGTTTAGTCCGGTCAAATTAGACAGAAAGAGAAATAAGAATGAGTGAAGTAACATAAAGGACAATGGCGAAATATTTGTTGAACCATTAGCGTCTATAGATGTCATTATCAGAAATGTTAATAAAATAATTTCAAAAGATTATAAATTATTTAGGAGGGTTGTCTAAGACTGGAATTAAAAACTCAAAAAAAGAAAACACGTGAAGCTTAAAGGGAGTCAATTTTTTCAATACATCTCTTATCTATTAGACAAGTCCGTCCGTCTGTCTGTGGTGCTGTTTCAGCGGCCAAACCGTAAGAGATAGATAAAGAGAATATTTAAGTTATATGTTAAGAATAGTCTGATAAGACTACAAACCGGATTTAAGTAACGTAGCACTTCCGATTTTCGAGAAATCAGGTTTTGGTGAACTTATAAACCAGTGAACCAATCACTGGTTTACTAGTTATTAAAAATAACATTCAAAATTCGCCATCGTTCCGCTACTTGAAAAAAGGATTACTCCAGGTCTAGTTAAAAGGTCAGACAAGTGGAAATTTCGAGATTTTCATCAAAACTGCAAGTTTTATCGTAAAATTGCTTCAGACAAAAATTGTAGATCATAAATTTATCAATGGGGACTTTTGATAATATGTTATTTCAATTAATGGTTTAAACAATTTTACTCACTTTCAGCTTGATGTAAAGTTATGTACTTTTGAATGTCTAGATTGACCAGGAGTATGTTGTGTATTTATCTACGAGTAGTTAGTAGTTCTGGAACGAACTGGAAGTTCTCATAATTAATCCTCTTTGAGTTTCCTTTTCTACCTATACTTTCATTCATCATCTATTTTCCTAATAATGGGTGGAAGCCTATTCTATATTGCCTTTAATTAGGATATAAATGTTAATTATTGTGCAAATATATTCTTCACTCTATAATATTTTATTATTATTTAAATAGCACTTCGTTTGTCACATGTGCCTGTAAATAACTTTAAGTACCGATAAAACTTGGTAATAACTCTGTGTGATTCACGAACAGTCGACTACACACATTGTCGCATCCTTTCGCAAATAATGTGATTTCTCAGTGATCTTGAATTGTGTTAATTTCTTCACTTCTAGAGGACCTCCATGTTATGAGTACGCCGGTTTTCAAGGTGTTGCTAATATAGAGGTCCTGGGTTCGTATCCCTGTGGGCGATGGGGCAAATGTTCCTAAATCCTAATCTAAACTAAATCATGGATCTACTTCCACGATTGTAAGCCGAACGCACAGGAGCTCTATTTTTGAATCACTCGTCTTGCGTCGAACTCTCGATTTCTACTAAAGGACATCGACGAAATCGGCCCTAGCTTGCCCAAAAGAATGTCCTTCACTATTATCTTTCTATTATTTTTTTAACATATTAGCAATTAATCATAGTAAACGGACAATCTGTTTAAAAAAATAAAAAAATAAAGTTCTGTTACTAGATACTACAGTCTATTCATCCAACTTGGCACTCCTTTTTATTGAAAAAACAGCATTAAAAATCAACTGATAACTGGATTCAAAAGGTTTCAGTCTATAATAACGATTTATTTTAATAGTTTATTGGCTTCGTTAATATTTTATTATTAAATGGGTGATTCTGTTAAAAAGTTGTGCCAAGATTGTTTACCTTAATAAATGCATAAGAGGCGACCATAGGTATTTATTAAAAGAAAAATAGAGATACCTTAGTTAATAATACTTATTACTAGTATTATATTTATAAAAAGATTATTTCTGAAATTATGTAAAGATAGTTTATACTCACATTCGATGTAATATCTGTTTATTTTTATGAAAATCATAATGATAACCAGGTACATACCTAATTACCGATAGTAAAATATAGAAACAGGTAAATGGAAAGACTGAACATTTCATTTGAAAAGAAATCTATTATTACTACAGGTAAGGTATAGGTATCATAGGCGCCAACTGACAACACTCATTAATCAATATGAATATAAGCATTTATTATTTTTATTATTAATTGCATTTTATGTTCATTTAATGCATATAATTTAAGTGCTTACATAGAGGTAAACACTAAATCTATTCAGAATATATAAAGTGTACATCTTTTAAGATTAAGTATAATAATTATAACCTCAAAATCTAATACATTCTGTAGTAGGCCACGGTTCCTCAAGTTGTCCGTATCTCAACAAATGCCTAATTAGAGTTTAGGAATGATTCCGAACACAACTAGCATTTTCTCATTGCTGGGCGTTCTAGGGCATTCAATGTATGGGGAACGAGCAATGTCCTTTCATTCGACATAATTAATTCCGTATTTTTGAATCGCTCGAGTGCAACGAATGGGTGAAACCACTCGCTGCATGGCGAATGGTGGAGGCGAATGATAGAATAATTGTCAAATTTTTTGTGCTATTAGACGACGATAATCTATAATTGTCATGCTTTATATGAAACGACAACGAGAATTTTTTGTTCGGTTTTCATTGCGGTAATTACCGGTTTTTATTCTTTCTGCGTGAACTGAGTAAAATTTTATATTTCGTATTAAACAGGTAACACCGGTGACGAAAGATTAAAAAATACGGAAAATCAGTATTATGTGACTTGAAAGTCGAAGGTGACTTATGTCGCATTCGACGATACAATGTCAGACGAGTGATTCAAAAATAGAGCTCCTGATCCGCTTACAAGGAGCTCCTTGTCGGCGAAAAGTTTATCATTTTTTTTTATAAATATACAAACTTGAGGAGCTGGATGGTGCGATTGGTTGGCATCTACGTTCTGCAATCGTGAAAGTACTGGGCCTGCGTGGTGAGTTATGGCCTGGCCCAATCTCCTTTTCCATCCATTAGATAAGGCATTTGTCCCAGCAGTGGGGACATTAATACAATGATAATGATCCACACTTACGAATGCGACTTCTGCTGGAGGGCCTGTGACGTCAGCGATGCCAGCTCCCACGCGCAGAGCGGTCGCTGCGCTGGCGCATGCTACAACGCACATCGCGCTGAGCAACATCCTGCCGATCTGGAAATGAACATTCTTTGAGAATGTGGCTCTTCTTAAATCTTGCAATACTTATCTGTTATGTATATACATATAGTCACTGTTCTCAAAAATAAAGGATTTAATTCATATGTAATAGAAAGTCCTCCTCTGAAGAGATCGAGAAAGCGCATTCTAGAACGCATTCAGTAGTCATTCAGTAGCATCCTGCCCACCTGGTAATGAACATTCTTTGAGAATGCGGCTCTTCTTAAATCTTGCAATACTTATTTGTTATTTAAAAAAATAAACGATTTAATTCATATGTAATAGAAAGTCCTCCTCTGAAGAGATCGAGAAAGCGCATTCTAGAACGCATTCAGTAGCATCCTGCCCACCTGGTAATGAAATTTTTTGTAAGTTGGTGATTCTTCTAAAGCTCTACAATACTTCTTGGTTAAGTTAGGTTAGGTTAGTTTTCTGGGAGATAAAAGGTAATTTGAAACCCAACTTCGAAGACATCGGGAAAGGGAGCAGTGCTATTCTGGAAAAACAACATACACACTTCCGATTTCGGTGGCTGCCATTTTAGATAGTTTGATATGAATTACGCCATTTACACGGCGAAATGTCGCTATGACTGCAGCAGCAGCCAGTAGAATCTGAGCGGAAAGAGAATGGGCATGGCGAAAAACGGTACTAACATTAAGATTTTTATTTGACAATCAAACCCAGCAATCTGTAAAACGTCAAAGTTTTGTATTAATACGGATTTGTTTGCGGTTGTGATTGTATTTAATCATACGAAAAGGGGTAAAACCTTATAAATACGGTAGAAAAGCACTACAGCTCCCTCCAATCTAAATCCCATTCTCTTTCAGCACAGACTCTATAAGATATTTGACATTTGTCAGAAATCCAAATAAATAAGTTCGTAAGTGAGTGCATCATCCCCGTCTCAGGTGATGATCGCTTTAGCTGAAGCTTGTAAGGCCCTTCCTTAAGCATGAACTACGGGTGTGTTTTAATCAGTAAGAATCTTCCATAACCTTGCAGCCGGCTTTAGGGTATCCATGAGGATTTCACACCCGCTCCCCCTCGTAGGAGGAAACAAACAAAAAGTAAGTGAGATTGCATCTTATAGAATACCTATGCTGAACTACTTATTTCTGTTATGAAAATCATAAACAACGGAGATACCACAAGCAAAGAAAAGAGTTTGTTCCACAAGCACCCACATACGAGTTGATTTTGATTAAAAGAATTCATTAATTTTGATTAAAAAGCAAAAACATGCAAATACAGGGGTCTAGGCTCCGAATATGATTTTGTCCCATTCGGTGTCGAGACCCTTGGTCCGTGGGGTCCTAACGCTATAAGGTTTATAAGCGAATATCAAAAAGGTTAGTCGACACCACTGGAGACCGAAGAGCTGGCAGCTACCTCGGACAAAGAATTAGTTTAGCTATTCAAAGGGGGAACGCTGCCAGTATCTTTGGAACCTTGCCTAAAGGGACTCTTTTTAATAATATATTTTAGTTATTATATTATATTTTTTACGGTTTTTAGTTTTAGGTTCATTGTTCCTGTATAGGTATATTATTATTGTACATATCATACAATTAAAGTTTTCTTTTATAAATGTCATTTCAACAAATAAATAAATGAGTTTCATAAGTAAAAAAAAATCTCATTTTTGACAGTTCTTACAGTGATCTTATTCTTAAGATCATATTTTTAAGATTTTTTAATGTATTTTACTTGACCAAGAATGACTATACGACGGATAGTCATTCTTGGTCGACCTCACTTAAAGCCTGACGCCCAAAAACGAATATTGACAGCTCCGTAATCGTATCATCATCGTCAAATTTTGTATGGAAGGAGCCAGGTTGTTCTTACGTCCGCTAGGGGCGCTACTTAACTTTCATAGAAACTTTGACGATGCAATACTGCGATATTACGGAGCTGTACCGCTAGCACGAACCATTATCGGATTCGAATAGTTTACGAGTGCTAAATGTCAATGTCAAAATTTGTATAGGAACTTGAACAGCAGCGCCCCAAAGTACATAACGAGAACTAAAAATCAGTACAAATCAGACAATATACATTTCGGACTCGCAAACGTTACGAATTCGATATTGGTTCGTGCTAAGGCCTGGGTTCCGAACCTGGGGGTAACAAAGAACCTAATTATTTGATCAAATCTTAATAATAAGCAAATACTACATAATAATACTACTAAGTCGGGGTAAACTCTGTTTTCCTAATAGGTTACAGGGGTAGCAGTATTGGAAAGTTTAGGAAACACTGCGCTAAGGGTATTATCAATATTCGCGCTTGGGCCTCTGGGCCCAAAACGGGCTAAGTAACATTCCAAACCCGCGATAAGCTCCCGATAATACTTAATTTGTTTTACCGGTCACCCATCAAATTAAACACACCGACCGAGCGCGAGGAGCTCGATAGCGCAAGTGGTTAGCGCGTTCGGCTGCGATCGTTGAAGTTAAGCAACTTTCGCAGTGGTCGGTCATTGGATGGGTGACCAAAAATTTAATAACATGAGCTCCTCCGTGCTTCGGAAGGCACGTTAAGCCGTTGGTCCCGGCTGCATCTGCAGTCGTTAACACCCACCAATCCGCACTGGGCCCGCGTGGTGGGTCATGGCCCAATCTCCCTATTCCATCCATAGGGAAGGCCTGTGCCCCAGCAGTGGGGACATTAATAGGCTGATGATGATGATGATGATGACCGAGCGCGCTTGCACTTCCTGGTTATTGAACTCCTCAAGCATAAGCATATTAATTTCGAACGCATAAACATATATTATAAGCAAATTAAATCACGTAGGTACTTCCGCATAGCTCGACGCACATTCTTTTAAAAACATTGTGTAAGGCGTAAGGTATAATTGAATAAATGGCTGCCGGTCCCATACTTAAATTCATCTTTTTACCCCCTTGAAGTTTGATTTTCAAGACAAATCAATTTATTACACTCATGTAGTTACATAGATGTTACAAAATGAATAAAGTACCTAACATGAACCATGTCAGGGTATCGCAATATAGTAGTGTCTTATAGATACAAAATTACAAAAGAGAAATTAATTTATAAACAATTATCTATAGGAAGAATCTAATTTGTATTAAACTACTTTATTTCTCAAATCATGCTTATAAGGTCATCTGATTTCATTAATTTTATAATAAAACTTACTCAATTGAGCTTATTTCCAGTAGTAGTTTAATAAAATATAGCATTTTATGTTCTTCTAAGATACAGACAGCGTTACAGACATAGACATAGAGATATACAGTGTCATTTTCGCTTTTAAAGTATTATGTATATAGAATTGTATGGATGCCATGGATGCTAAAAATTGTTTCATTAATATTTTGGCTGCCCAGCCGCGTCCGTAGTGCTAACTCATTATTTTATCTAAATTAATTGTTAGTTTATTACCAATTAGCTAATCAAATTCGAATCGTTCGGCGTTTAAAATCTCATTCAAATTGTTACCTTTAGCTATCTAGATATTTCTAGGTCTTTTTCGTAACAGTGTACATTAACATGATCGTTAAGCTAATTAACTTTTAATGAGAGGATTTGAAAATAAAAACTTTAAATACATATTACATAAAAAGCAATCAGCCAATGATCGTGACACATCGTGACGACGGGGACGTACCTGCTTTCATTAAATGTGGTCTGGCCAAAGGCTTCTACTAAATCAGACTCCGTACATAATATGAAATGAATGACTGAAGCCCGTATTACAGATTGACAACTAAGTGTTGATCTGTACTTGGGTACAGTTAGAAAGGGATGTCGCTATGTGCTATATATAGCGACATCCCTTTCTAACTATGCTCAAGACTAGATCAATCACTGAGATTTTTTCAATAATACGGGCCTAAAACAATAAAGAAAATCTAAAGAAAATATAACTAGAAATAATAACCAGGCAGCAGACGGGACTCGAACCCGCACCCTTCGCAATCCGGGCGAATGCACTGACCAATTATGCTACCGCAGCCCTCACGGACCGCGTCGAAATTCTTCTAGCCATTCTTAAGCTGCAAGGCAGCGCCATCTCATCGCATTATAGGTAACCCACAATGTCAAATGAATACTTTTACAAGTATTAAACATTTGAAAGAAGAAATAGCAATTATAGTTATAAATTTTATTATTTTTAAAGCATGTAACTGCTTGATGTTTAAATCTAAAGAAAATATAACTAGAAATAATTCCACGCGGACCAGATAGCAGACGGGACTAGAACCCGCACCCTTCGCAATCCGGGCGAATGTGGGTTACCTATAATGCGATGAGATGGCGCTGCCTTGCAGCTTAAGAATGGCTAGAAGAATTTCGACGCGGTCCGTGAGGGCCGCGGTAGCATAATTGGTCAGTGCATTCGCCCGGATTGCGAAGGGTGCGGGTTCGAGTCCCGTCTGCTGCCTGGTCCGCGTGGAATTATTTCTAGTTATATTTTCTTTAGATTTAAACATCAAGCAGTGACATGCTTTAAAAATAATAAAATTTATAATAAAAAAAATTCAAATAGTTCTACAACTGTTTACAAAGTAGCCCCCCTTTATTTATTTATGTTATCTACTTGATCATGTTCCTGGCTGTTACAAACTTATGAACGCCATTGAGACCTTGTACCACAAAATTCATAGTACTTGTTCTGAGGCACCTTTTACGTGTATTTACAGTCAAGAGTAACTACTTGTCATTAGTCTTGTTCTTGCTAACAAACCGTTTCACCTTTATTAACTTTTTAGAGCATTTAGTTTACATGTCTTCATAGTGAGATCTCTGTAATTTTCTCGCATCCGACGTTACTTTTATGTCATACAATAATATTTCTTGTAGTATAGTTCTTGTGGTAAGGAGTGACGACCTCAATTGAATGTCATTATTTTGATCTCGAATAGAGTTTACCTAGGGTCAAGGTTATTTGAGCAGTTCTGCTCTGTTTTTGATGAGTAATATAATACAGAAATAAATATGTTATTCGATGAGCA